CCAATATAAATTCAAAAGTTGAAATTAATAATATAAAGATTGGGCCTGAGATAAATTTAATCGGGCTGAAAAAAATCAACGCGATAACAAAAATTTTCTCGATCGATTCGATAGACGACGATAAAAAAATACACGACATAATAATACGTATATAATTCACACAATATTTATTAATAAATAACATTTAAACACATAATAATTTAATAATAATAAGCAATTTATAACACTTAGACAAATAATAAGAAGAATAATAGTAATAATAACAACAACAATATTCAAATAGACAAATACTAATAATAATAATAATAATAATAATAATAATAATAATGGAGACAAATTAATAATAGCAATAATCAATAATTACTCCCAAATAATCCACAATAAAATGGGGTATTACACCTGCCCATCTACAAATGGCCATTGCATCCTGGTAATTTTGTATCATATTCCTAGGACCACCAGTGAACGTAGAAGGTAGTATAATCCGCTTTCCACGTGAGCTAGGATCAGTATCGCCACGTACTACAGCATCAGCCAAACCATTGTAAAGATCACAACGAAGTTTCTTCTGGTTAAAACGGATATATCGCAACCTCGATGATTCGACCATTGTATAAGCATCGACTATGAATTGTTGAAGCAACCTTCGAGCTGATAAAATCGTCGGTGGCTCACAATTCCTATCATGCATGCGTTATGCAAAATATTCTCGACAACTAACATGTTTTCTACCAGTGTCCGTCTCGGCTTTTAATTCTGAAAATGGTATATCCTCCCTATAACCATCCTCTCCGTACGACAATAACAAAGGATATTGAAGTGCCAAATACGAAGCATTAAGTTCGTTTATCCTTTGAAGACGACCACTCTTAGTTTCAACAATTATGTCCCTATCACCCAAAGACTGGTCAAAATCTCCAAAAATCAAAGCAGCAACTTCAGAGCTGGTGGGAAGATTATATCGTCTTGCATCATGGTGTCTTTTTCCAATTAAACGGATTCTAACATCACGTTGACCGTGGTTGTTAATTCTGTCCCGAGCCATTCGAAATGACTTAACCAACGCGTTGTTTTGGTCTAACATATGCTTCAACCCAACAACTATATCCATATCCAAGTTGTTATCACCATCTGTTTGCCTACATAAAATAATAATAATAATATTTAATAATTTGTATTATTTTTGTTATATGCATTATATAATTATATAAATTTTAAATACATACCTGACTGCATTCATTCTATTTGAAATCTCATTTTCTGTATCATATATATACAACTGTGCAAACTTTGGACTCGAACCATCTGTTGGATGCAAACTACCCATTAGATGATAGTTTTGTCCATGCAATGAAAATATAGGTGGTCCAGTGCCCCTATTAATAGCTCCATCAATCTTTCAACCAAACGATGTAAAACCGAACATGCTATTGTAAGATCTAATATTTTCCTGGAAGTGCTTGCTTTTTCTACTATCCCCAAAAAGCAAATCGTTTAAAAGCGTGGGAGGATTTTTCATCTTCGGAAGTTGTACAATGCCATTTTGGCAACACCCTTTGTAATCAGGTATCCCATTAGTTTTCTCTCTTGTTTTTTTTCAGTATACCAGAACAGTGCTCCACAGTACTGACACTCCAAGCTTGCATCACCCATATCCCAATATTCTAAAAAAAAAAGCATAGTATTTCATCAGTATAAATTTATATTTCCATTAAAAAAAATAAATTTGTAAAACCACCAACCCTTATTTGTTGATGTCGTTCCTTGATTTCTCTTAGGTCGACCACGTTTTCTTTTGAGAGGCGTGTGTTGAATAACATCTTCTTGAGTTAGATCAATAATAGCATTCATACTATTATTAATATTACTGCAATTAGATTTATCCTTCTTCTTTATAGTGGATCGACTTGGCGTGGTGACACTTGCATTGTATATATAATTAATTAAACCATTTTTTAATGGTATTACATTAAAAACATTTAGAGTGACGTGAGATATAAGGAATTACTTTCAGGTACAACACCAGTTGTTTTATGAATTCGATTTGATTGACCAAAAGTTCTTGCACTCATATTTCTTACTTCTGGCTCGTTATCACCTGTCAGATCAATAACACATGTTTCTCGTAGAAGATTAGTTTTAGACTTTAAAAAAGTTTTATGTGGGGTAGTCAAATTGACACTGGCACCGTAGGATGATTGTATATTATCTGCAAAGTGAAATAAACTTTATAAATAAATCTGTTGTCAATAACATATATGCATTAACTATTAATTATTAATTCTAAAAAAATAAATCATACTCCAAATATTGGAATATATATTATTCGTTCTCATGCATGATTCTGTAGCTCCAAAAACTGCCAAAAAAACAAAAAAAATAAAAGTTATAACGAAAAACAATATGGGTCAAATAACAAATCTAAATAATTGTAAATATTTTCATATGTAGTTACCATTAGTGATATTAGATAACGGGGTCATTTGTGAAGGCTGGACAACATCACGGCTTGTTAGAAAATTTGTATGAGACGTAAGCATATGTGAAGGATGGCTACTACGTTCGTTTCCTGTAAGATTAAAAAAATTATTGTCAAAGCTAAAATACAAACAATTAGCTTGAAAGGAAAGAAAATATTTGATGATTATATAACGTACAAAAAGGATTAAATTAAACAAAATTATTTTTATTAAAAGAAACATACATGTACAAACGATTCAAAAACACATAATTTGTATTTAAATAAGCACAAAAGGAAGAAATGTATAATTTCAGCCCAAATAAGCCTAAAATATATTTAAAGAAGCCCAAAGTAAATATATAATTACGGACCCAAATTGCATGTGTATTAGTAAATACCAAAGCCCAACACTTGTTTTATGATTTGGGTTGAAAAAGATCCACTAAAAAATAAACATAATAAATTTAAAAAATTAAAAAATCCAGTATGTGTAATGGATTGGACGGTCAGAAAATGAAGGGCTATATTGTGCGGTAGAAAAAAAATCATATCAAAACCCGATTTAACCTTTGTCGGTTACGATCTGCATATCGATTTGCCATCTGCTTTCAATTTTGATTTCGGAAATAGCTCGATCTATCATTTTTCGGATTCAATTCTTTTTTGTTTATTGGGATCGAACTATACCCCATAAAAAAACATCAATTTTCTGTATTTACGAATTTGTACGTTTCTTGATGAAACTATACAGATAAGGTAATAATCGAGCTATTTTAACCATTTATATTGTTTTTTAAGTTAAAAATACTTGGATCTGGAATCGAAATGTTTTTTTATTTTTTTTTTTTAAGTTCTTGTT